GTGAAACTATGCGGCAGGAATTGAATACATCACTACAGAATTGCAAGTAAATTTAGCAAAAATAAAACAATAGCATGCAATCAAAATGGTCCTAAACCAAGCTTCTGTCCAAGCATTACTCAAAATTGCAGAAATCTCAGCAATCAATGAAAAAAACAGCATCCACATAATCATCATTCCTGCTTTAAACTTGAAATTTGCATCATCATTAAGTTTGCTTCAGCTAAACAGATATGTTCAATAATAATTTCCGCACAAAAATCTAATCAACTACTTCAATAGTAAACAATGCATAGACCTTATATCTCAAAATTAAAAGCCAAAACAGAATAAAACCTTAGGAACACTCCACGAACTAGCACCTGTATCCGATCCAATCAAGCAGTGAGAACTACAGCTCCCCCATTCTCTTTTATCTTCTTCTCAGCAATCTTGGACACGAGCTTAGCCTTGACGACAAGAGGCTGTGATGGCGGCAGCGTACCCTTTCCGAGGACCTTGAAGTATCCGAACTGGGTAACGTCGATCATTGGAGCGCTGCCACCAGGAGCCTTCGTGGCGGCAGCCTTGACCTCCTCCGGTACGAGAGACCAGAGGCGATCGATGTTGACGATGGGGCAGTGGAACTTGTTGCGAAGTCGGTGGAAGTAACGCATGCCAACCTTACCGAAGTACCCGGGATGGTACTTATCGAACAGGATCCGGTGATGGTGCATACCACCTGCGTTACCGCGACCGCCGGGATGCTTGCGATGCTTTCCGATGCGCCCATGGCCGGCACTCACGTGCCCTCGCTTCTTCCTGTTCTTCTTAAAGCGGGTCGTCATCGCTCTGCTAATGCGATCTCTCCCTCACTCCTAGGGTTTGAGCTCGATATTCGGCCGCCGGAATCAGAAATTCATAGATAGAAAATGAATGAATGCCCTATTGTGAGAATATTTATAGGTGCCTTCGAGGGAGAGTAAATATGGACCGTTGGATGAAGAAGCAGTTCTTCATATATAAAACACATCTTAAAGTCAAGTAATTGATTTAATTCCCCCCCAAAAAAAAGTAATTGATTTTCCAGCTCATACAAACTATATTATAGCATTCCAATTCAAATTTTCTCTCTAAGGATAATTTTTCTATCAACTTAAATTAAAAAAATAAACTATATTATACAAAATAATAATTTTTTTATGTATTTTGAATGTAATAATGAAGGTTCTTTAAAATTTTAAGAAAGTTTAGAAATTTAAAATCAATATTAATTTTGAACTACATTCTATCAAATAATAAACTTTAAGATTTACTTTTTTTAATATAGTTACTAATTCCAAGCAACTAAAGCTTTGTTCGGGATGGTTTTTTTGCTTCTTTTTAAAGCATCTTTTTAGGTGTAAAAAATTTAATTTTTTATTGAAAAATTGTTTTGAAAAGCAGTAAGAAAGCCGTCTCAAACGAAGCCTAAATGAGCATTATAATTTTTTGAGAATATTCTTGTTGCGTGCAAGAACATTCGCTGCTATAGAAAGATAAAGAATTCAATGTCTTTATTTTGTATGAAGATCTAACACACACATATAAGAGAGGAGTACAAAAAAAAGTATAAGAATTATAAAAGACACTATAATTTTTATAGGAAAATCCCTATAAAGGAAAAAAATCATAGGGTCTGAACCATTTTAAAATAATTTTATTAGTATTTATCATTGATTATTTAATTATAACAAGATGTATTTCTTCTGGGGAATGCATTGATGCAATGCATAGAACATATCATATGATAGAAGTTGGAAGAACTCTATAGCCTGAGAGGTCTTTAAGAGATCATTTTATTGTTTGTTTACTTATACTCCTTTGAAAAGAGAAGAGCTAAGATCAAGAAATTCAGCATAAATCTTAATGCTTGCATTGGGACCCAGAGTTGATGTCGATGATATGCATTGATATTGTAACTGATGGCATGCATTATCATTATTAATGATGACCGGTGTTGTAGTCAATAGACGTCCAAGTAGCTATACGAGAATGATTCAAGAATAGTTCGAAGGATCATCATCGAACTACAGTGTTTATAGGATCGTAGCCATATGATGATAGTTAGAGGACGAAGGTCAGAGTACTGCAGTCGGATTTCAAAATATGCATATAACTATATGGTATATTCTTTTTGAAGCACATTAGATTGTGCACTCATTATCATTAAGATTTCTCTCAACTTAATTGGCAAGTCCGTTATTTAAAATAAGTGTATTATTAAATATCTATGCCACTTTTTTGCTATGTACTGTGGTTGTGTACCGCTATGTACAGGGTGATGTGGCGCGTTCTGATTTGCCTCCGGACAGCGTCCGTATTCGCACATAATAATTTCACTATAAACTGATTCCATGTTCTATTAAAATAAATTCATATATTTAAATTGATTATTTTACCAAAAAAAATATTTATCTTACATCCAATCAAATTTAAAAAATTAATTCTTTTTTAATTTATTATATAACGATCAAATAAATTTGCAAAATCAAATTACATTATATATATATATATATATATATCAACCGAATAACTTTGCATGCTCTATGTCACTCCTTACGTTTTATGGCTGCCCTTTTATTTCATCACGAAGAAGTATACGGAGATAAAAGATACCAAAATTCTATAACTTCTAGTGATTGTCAAGTTGGAATAAAAATTATGTTAAGATAGTTATTTTATGTTATATATAATTAATTTTATACGTCACATGTGATATTTTAATATATTAAATAACTTAATAAACATAAATAAATTATTAGACATTCACAATTATAATTGTAATAGAAAAAAATAAATTTGCAATTTCACAATAGTTATATTTATTTAATAATTTGTTTTGTATTGAGAGATAATATGTAGCGTATAAAATTAAAATACATATCATAAAAATAGCCCCATTTCATAGGGGTGTCAAAATAGTTTTTTGCGTTGGGTTCGGAATCAACCTGAAACCGATCTACCCTCGATTGCTCCAACAAGAACCATATCCCAAATATACAAATGAGTTAGAAATTTAAACCGGACCTGACCAACCCAAATCCAGGTCAACCTGACCCGACATGCGGACCCGGGCAAGGCATTGCGAGGCGATCCGTGAGTGCTAGCGCAACATGAGCTAGTGAGGCGATCCGAGAGTGGGTGTGAAACTGTGAGACGATACAAGCGAGCGAGGCAAGCCGTGAGCGCGTGCGTCCGTGCAAGCAGGTGCATTTGTGTGTGCGCAACAAGCGCGAGCACGATGTGGTCAGTGCCACCTGCGAGCAACGGCCAATCGAGATTCTCAAGGCTAGCAGAAGCGGAGCGAGATCCATATTCGAACCCGAGTCAATTTTGGATTGATACAAGCGAGCGAGGCAAGCCGTGAGCGCGTGCGTCCGTGCAAGCAGGTGCATTTGTGTGTGCGCAACAAGCGCGAGCACGATGCGATCAGTGCCACCTACGAGCAACGGCCAATCAAGATTCTCAAGGCTAGCAGAAGCGGAGCGAGATCCAGATTCGGACCCGAGTCAATTTTGGGTTGATATTAGCTTTTTAGGTTAATCGCAACCCGATCCAAAATTAGAAACATGTTAGATTTTGAAACCCGAATCCGACCCGTTTTCCAATTTAGTTGACCCAGAACCAAAATCTTTTTTATTGTGTTTAGTCTGTGTCAAATATTGACACCCCTACCATTCTGATATAAAATACATCAATATCTCATGCAATTTTCTTAAATAGCAACTCTTCTAAATATATGCTATGTTTCTATCTTGTTCTTCTTGTGAGTGTTAGCTAAGCTAGTTTATAAGATTTTGTTTGGAATAGCTTTTGACCACTACTTTTTCAATACTTGCAAGAAATTTTGTATTAGAAAGTTGATATAGAAAGCACTAAGAAAACTATTCAAAACAAAAATTAAGGCTTCGTTTGGAACATCTTTCTTAATGCTTCTTAAAACAGTTTTTTAGTACAAAAAATAAATTAAGAAAGTCATCCAAAACGAAGCCATGGGACAGCTTTTTTATTGCTTCTTAAAATAGCTTTTAAATTTAAAAATTAAAATTTTTAAGAATCAGTAAGAGAGTCGTCTCAAACGAAACCCAAGTTGCTTTCACATAACAACTTTCCAACCAACTTTATAAAAAGCTGCAATCATCTCAAACAAATCCTAAATTAATAATTTCATGGGGCACACATTTTAAATAACTTAGGTTTTTAATTTAAAAATTAAAATTTTTATACTTAAAAGAGGCTTTAAGAAGCAGTAAGAAAGTCATCTCAAACGAAACCTAAGTTGCTTTCACATAACAACTTTCCAACCAACTTTATAAAAAGCTGCAATCATCTCAAACAAATCCTAAATTAATAATTTCACGGGGCACACATTTTAAATAAATTTAGAAAGTACATGTTTCCATTTGTAAATAAGATAGAACAAACAATATAACATTTTTTAACAGTTATTTCAGGAAAATTAAAATCATGATAGATTAAAATACTAAAATTAAATTAAACTCTTACTAAGGATGACCATTTTATCAGTACTAATACCTTGATTTCCTTACAACAAGCTATCCAAATTTCTGGAAATTATTCCATGCGGAGTCCGTACACAAAAAATTTCAATCGGAATTGTGTGTGTTTATACTATATACAAATAATTTTATAGACATTACGTACACTCATAATCCGGATCGAAAGTTCCTATCCGGACTAGGGGTGTAAACGAGTCGAGTCGAGTATTTGTCTTATCAAACATGGCTTGTTTAATCCTTAATGAGATCGAGCTCGTTTGAAAAGCTCGAGCTCGAGCTCGAGATCGAGCTCGTTTGAGAAGTACCAACGCATGTGATGTGTATTATTATATATAAAAATAATACTATAAATATAATTATATCGAGTAGCTTGATAAGCTTTCGATCGAGTCGAGTCGGGTTGAGCTCGAACTCGAGCTCGTTTATCATTCGAGCTTGATTGTAGGCTTGAGCTCGAAGCTCGATAAGCTCAGCTCACGAGCTCGTTAACAAATGAGTTCGAGCCGGCTAGATTCACTTACACCTCTAATCGGGACTACTCACGATATAATTTATCTCAAATTTCGAATCATATTCCTTCTAACTGCTGAAAGGCTGTTGTCCTCATATTCTAGGCAACGCTTTACTATTAAATTAGGCCTTTGAATGCAACGCTGGAAGCCTATGATGGTCACGGGTCACTCTTTTTAATTTTTTATCTTATATTTTATTAAAAATTAAATAATTTGCTGAAGTCATGCAAAAATAAATTTAGTTATAAAAAACAATTTAGCATTGATTAACTACCAAATGAAAGTCAGATGACGTGGCTCGAAAAATATTATATTATTTAATCATAAAATAATTTATTAATTTCCTTATTTACATCATGTTTTAAAACTAATTTAGATCACAAATGTTTTCTAAATTTTTTTTTTTCATTTTTCAATCACCTAAGGGTTTCACGATGGGTTAACGGATTAGGTTAAGGTCAAAGCTGAAATTCATTTGATTTAAAACCATTCAGATCGAATCTGGCGTGTTTAATAAACGGGTCAAAAAAATGAACCTGAATCTCATCCAATTATATGTTTTGATTAAAAAAAATTTAACTGGTTAGCTATTGGTTTTAAATTAATTGATAAAAAAATAAGAAGAATATGCCAACAAGTAAAAGAATTTAATGAAAAAATAAATAGGTAAAAATTGGATTTGTGGGTCAACTTGAACTCGACTCGCAAATTAAAAGAATCGAAATTCTAGACTTGATCCAATCCATTTACTAAACTGATCAATTTGAACTCATATTCCTCAATTCAGGTTTGAACAGGGTTGATGAATCCAGTAATTTAGAGACACCCATGACATAAGAGAAATTATTA